TCTGTGAAGTTCGCACAACAACGAAATTTCCTAACAACGCATTTCTCAGAATGTATCCCCATCTTTAAGTGATGCATGATTGTATTACTATATTTTCTTTAGCGAGGTACAAAAGTGACTTGGCATCTGGTAAAGAAATGGGTTGTGGGGTGAGCCCTATCTGCCTGGAGCCAGGTTGACACAGTGCTAAGTGCTCCTGTCCAGTCAGGCCACGGCCACACTTTTTTTGGTCAAGTTCTGACATTGTCACCTGTGAATGTCACTGCAGAGTCTTAAGAAATATTGAGGTCAGAGGGTGGGCCCCTGACACCAACTGGTGACTGAAAGGGAGCCTCAAACAGATGCTGTCCAGTGAACTTTTGTAAGCCCAAGTCAGGCCTTCAGGAAATGCTGAGATTAAGGAGTGGGAAGAGGTTGAGTTTTCCACTCAGAGAATCACAGTGAAAATAAGTTCTACAGCTGCTATTCTGACAGAGCCAGGCCCCTCCCCAGGCCATGAGGAGCCAGGCCTCGACCACAGGGACCTTCCCCTCCCACGCTGCTGCTCACTTTGGCCCTCCCTCGCTGCCTTCTCTTGCTTCTGTTGAAGGGAGGCTTCCGTGCTGTTCTCAGCCCCAGCTTGGTGCTGGGGTTGGCTTCTGGGGAGTTTTGGTGAGGCGAGGGGCCCTGAAGGCTGTTAGGGGAAGCCTTTCGAGCAGGAGTTTCTCCAGAAATGTCCACAGGTCTTACCTGAGCCCTTGGTAACCCAGGACACTGTCCATCACCCTAAGTGCTTCGCCTTCCCCGATAGGGTCTAAGGGAACCAGAAGGAAGGAAGCCTCAGAGGGAGCTTTTATTTTTCCTTCCTTTTAAAGCAACACTCTTGTTTCCTGTTTATAGCAGCGTGACAGCTCCCTTGGGAAATGGCTAAGGGACTGTGAGAGGATGGGCGGTGACTGAGAGAGAATCTGAGAGACAGAGTCTGCTCCACTCAATCTCTGATCTGGGCCCTCGACTTGAAACGGAAGGAAGGAAAGATGCCTGGGAGCTGGGCTGAGATGGCTTGAAGAGGAAAGGCAGCCTCTTCCCTCTGCCCTGAGCTGGTCCTAGAGCTTCTAAGCTGGGCCCTCACACTCACCACCCAGCAGGGAGGGCGCTGGAGTGGGCACTAGTCTGGTCCTGCTTCGAGGGCCACTGTGGAGGCAGGGACATGGGTCCTTGCACATGAGCTGGAAATCAGAGTGGGCTCTGTCATACTCTCGGTGCAGTCCAGACACTTTGGTCCATGGTAGGTCCATGGAATTAATTAGCTCGTTAGTGCAACAAATCTTTGGGTGCCTGCTGTAATCCAGGCACTGCTCAGTGCAGTGGGAAACAAGAAGCCCACGGCTGCTGACACAACACCATGTCCGACAGGTATGTGATGTTTTAACCATGTGCCCCAGCTTGCACAAATTTACTAATTTATAAATTTACATGTACTGTCAGTTCACACGTACTGATAGGTCCATTATAAAGCATGCACAAGAAAGAACATATGAATGAGAGAAATAGAAATAAGTTCTAATATTTCTCCCACACCTCAGTGATTTGCATTGCATACATCCCACTTCAGAGAGCACTGGTTTGTGCTGTTGCCTTCATGTTTCAGACCTCCACTTTTCATGTAGTTTTGGTAAGTGATCATTTTGAGTTGGGGCTGCCCGTTGGATGAACGGAAGGTGTGAAAGAGGAAGCAAGGTAGGCAGATGCTGAGCTCCCATAATTGGTCAGCACACAGGCCCAACAAGGCCTGATGACCACCCTTCTTTCCCCACTCCATCTTCCTTGGGAGGGTGCCTTAAGGTTCTCATGCTCCTGTCCTGTGTGCTGTGGTCAGGCTTCTGAGGGGTAGGGGTGTGTAGTCCCTTTAATGTTTTCATAGACTTTCTTTGAGGTTGCATTTGGTCGTCCCACCAACCATCAGAGAGAAGGGATCCTTTCTCCACTGGAAGGCCAGAGAATGGAGGCCTGCGCTGAGTGTGATGAGAGTGGGGACCTGGGCCCTGCCTTCCCTGACTGGCTGCTGCCTCCTCCTGCAGAAAGTCTTCCTTGACATCTGCCTGTCCCGCCATCCCCTGGAGGAGCACACCAATGAACAGGCTTGGCCCCTCTGACTTTTGGTTAAGCTCCTTCAGGCTTGTTCCTTCAGGGTGTTTACTTCATTTCTTAGTTTTTCATCCCAGGTCCCCTGATGTTTTGGTAGCAACAGTCACAGTGTCTTTGTGACAGTTCTCTTTTGCTGCTTTCTGCTTCAGGATACCTCTCTTCACTTCCCTGTTTCCTAGCAAGGAAGGAGAGGAGCCAGATAGTGCTGGGCTATGATTCGTAAAAGGCCAAGAAGGTGCAGAGACTCAGGACAGAGCTGAGCTCCCTGTCCTCTGCGGGGGCTCTGCCTGGGCTCCTTCCTGTCCTTCTCTGCCTGGGGAACCAGCAACCTTTGTGAGTCTCCTTGACGACAGGATGGATAAGTTAAAAATAACCTGGTGCTGGGCCTTCTGTGTGTGGTGTGTATGTGTGTGCTCGTGCGTGCAGGTGCCCTCCCTCCTGCTGTGCTCCATCTCAGTCCCTGTGGCTTCTAGATGCTCCTGGAGAGCAGCTGTAGGAGGCCTCCGTAGGGCCCAGGTGCTTGCATGTTGCAGCCATGTGGTTTAGGGTCAGATCTAGATAATCTCGCAGCATCGTTACCTCGGGTCACTGATGGTTGCTGATGGAGTGCGGGTATTGCTGTTAAAGAATGGAAAGCCGTTCTGCATGCCTGGGTCTTCATTCAGTCTCAGTGGAGAGGGATAGTCCTGGAGGCGTTGCTGTGTTTCAGAACCTCTTGGGGCTGTGGAATAGGACACAGCCCTGGGTGGGAGTTTGGTTGGGTCTGTTCAGGGAACCCCCACAGGTAAAGAGGACCCTTTCTGGCACTTGGTGACTTGTCCACAGCCCCCTGGCTCAGCTGTGGCAAAGTAAGGAGCAGTGACCCATCATCTTTCCCTCAGATCAGACTGACGAGGCCAGCTCTTTAGGTTCTTTACTAAAGCCTCCTCTCTCTTTGTATCAGCAATCTTGCGCTAGTTAAGACCCTCTGTTTGTGGTGTTATCACAGTGGTGAGTTAATTTAGAAATTGCTGTCTCCATGAGGGCAGGGCTGGGTATCTCTTTACCACACCTGGAATTAATTCCTCACTTCCTCCCTCCATCCATCCTTCCATCCATTAGTAAGTATTTTGCTGTATGGTAGGCATGGGGATGTCATGAGAACAAGGTGTCATGGTTCCCGTCTTTAGGGAGCAGCAGACAATTTTAAAAATCTGCCCCTAAGTCCTCACTGTGGCCAGTGTTGAGAAGAAGATCTGAGTGTTAGGAGAGGGAATGACTAGGGTAGGGGTGGGGTTAGAGAAGGCTGGGGGGACGTATTCGTGACACGAAGTACTTGCATCTGGAAGGTATGAAAACTCCCTCAAATAATAAAAAGGAAGGCAGAAAACTCAGTAGAAAACTGGCCAGGGACTTGACAGACACTTCACCGAAGAAGAAGATATCCAGATGGCCAATAAACGTATCAAAAGGTGCTCAATTTCATATATTTGTTATGGAAATTCAAATTGTTAGTTCAACTTAAAAGATATAACTGTTTCTGTGTTTGCACACATAGATAAATCTTTAAAGATGTGGTAAAACATCCTTTTGCCATTTCTAGTTTATTTCCTTCTCAATTTCTTACTGAAAGTAAAATGGTTTCCAGGATACTTAACTAAAAGGAAATGTAGTGGGATGAACACAATGAAGTCAGAAGACCTGGGTGAACAGGGGATTTGGGGCCAACCACTGCGCTTGTCAGAGCCCCTGTTTGCTCACTGATGTAAACAGGGATCTATCTTCCTGTCTTCCTCCCAGAACTGCTCTGAGGTTCACGGTTATGGGAGATGCTCTTAAAACTGTGAGGGGCTCCGCAAATACTGTTACTGTTACTCTGTCTAATTCTGAGTGATTTGATTTCTCCTCTACCTCTTCTCACAGCAACTATTCTAAATTCTCCTGGGAAGTAAACAAACACTGAGTAGTAGGATGGTCCCTAGGATTCAGAGCAGCCTGCTCCTTGGTACTTCAGATCGAGAGCCTGTGGCTGGTGTGTCTCTGGTCCCCTCACACAGGCTGGGGAGCAGGGTGAGTTCCTGCAGGCATCCTTACCTGGCTGGGGCCTGGATGGCAGCCCTGTGAGTGATATCGCAGGGTCTGCTAACGCCCAGGCCTGGTGGCAAGGAAAGGATAGAGGCACCCCAGTGCTGGTGAAGCATTGACTTGAGTGAGTGGTACTATGTGGCTCCCACACTAACTGGGGCTGGCCTCCTCATGGGGTGCTCTTGTAAGGTCTGGAAGTGACACTGTAGACTTTGGGGAGTCCACTGGGGGGCAATAGTCTGTACACCCAGCTTTCCCTGAGAGAGCCTGGCCAGAGCTACTGGTGGCTCTGAGTCCACGGCAGGTTGTGGCAGAGCAGGGACTGCTTGCTGTATGCTTTAGGTGCTGGTGGAAAGGGGTTTTCAGAGGTGGATGAATCTTCCTGGGTGCCTACAGGCGAACCTTTATAGGCTATAAGCCTGGGATACCTGCAGCAAGGGCAGGGTCAGGAATGAGCCCCCGATGAAATCCAGCCACAGCCCCCTTTTCCATTCTTTGGATACAGAGCAGACCCTTTCTTACTCTTCTGGACTGTTGCCTCCTTGGCTCCCTTGTAAGGCAAGGAGGATTGAGCAGATCATGGCTGGTCCTCATCCTCCCGTGGTGCAGATGCACACGGGAGAGCTGGCCACTGTGGCACAAGTCAGAACAGTGTTGGACCACTGTGAGTCCCATCTGTTCTGTCACCTGACTGTGCCAGGTCCTCAGGCCTGTTTGGAGTCTTTTCTCACAGATCTCTTGTGGCAGGCATGTACAGTAACCTGCTCAGCATTTTTGACCTCTTCCTCTTCTGTTTTTCTGCGGTGTAGGAGTCGGAGTCAGAAGCAAAGGTAGATGGAGAGACTGCATCAGACAGTGAGAGCCGAGCAGAAGCTTCTCCCCCACTAATCCCTGCAGACGATACCCCAGAGGTCCTCAACAGGGCCTTCTCCAGCTTGTCTTCAAGGTAACCTGGCTTAATGATGCAGGTACTTGTTGGGGGTCTTGCAGTGGGACCAAGTGCCGCGGGAGACCCAGAGCCCTCGGAGAGCCCGCGGTCTCTTAAAGTGTGCGGGGCAGACCTGCCCACTTGCAGCAGCAGCCGCTGTCTCCCCTGCCTCCGCCCGGGCTCCACTGAGTGTCACCTAATGCTTGACAGCAACTACGAGCACAGCCTGCGAGGATCTGGCCCTTGAGGGGCTCTAGGCTGGGCCGAGAGGCGCGGGCCAAGGAGGATGAAAGTGTGGACGAAGGTGTGCTGGGTGAAGTCACTGACACAGTCGTGAAGAGAAATGGTCCTTGGGGTTTGTGACTAATGAGTGGGCTGCTTCTCACTGACGAGCCCAACTTTCTAGTTCAAAGTTTAGTTTTCCCTCTCCCACACACATCCATTGTGAACATTCCTTAAATTCTTCTGGAAGAATTGAGAATCATTTCAGCTTGGGTGACTCTAGGGTTAAAATTTTGGTCCCTTGAGACTCTGGTGCCTCCAATACCAGCTATGTGGGTAGATTAAAAATACAAACTAAAAGACCTGAACACGCTATCTAAAAGCATTCTTATGTGTGCCTTCCACACACATGTGTCCCTTTGAAAAGCTGTGTTGTGCAGTGATTGAGGGTGTGGGTTCTGGATCCAGACTCCTAGCGTTCAGATCCCAGCTTCACCACTTCTCTATGACCTGTGTGTCCATTGCCTTATCTGTGCAAGCTGGTGGTGTTGAGAGTTGAAGGAATTAATAGACGTGAAGTCCTTATAAAAGTGCCTGGTGCATATTTGTGATAGCTGTTATTATTATTGTCTAATATTCTTATCACCATAACGATGCAGAGGAAGAGAGTGTGGGATTCTGCTGCAGGAAGAATGTGCATCCGTTTTTCTTCAGATAGAGATGGCCACAGAAGCCATCCATGTAGATGGTGCTACATTTCCCTTGGGGTTTGTTGCCTGATTCCTTCATTAAGACATAAGCTGGGTATCTTTTTCTGTAGGCCTTGGAGCAGCTGCTGAGTTTTGTGTGGGTGAGGTGATGGCTGTAGTGACCCCACTCCCGCCAGCGTGTGACTAGTGCCTGCGTCAGGGTGAAGGAGGTGCTGTGGGAAGGGTCGACCTCAGGGCTCTTCTCATCCCAGGAAGAGCCCTGCCCCTCGGGATTTGTGCGTCCGTTCTTTCTGGGCCCTTAACGTGTTCTCTCCTTCCCCTCCTCTCTCTCTAACTTAGATGGAAGAACTGGTGGGTGAGAGGCATCCTGACTTTGGCCATGATTGCATTTTTCTTCGTCATCATCTACCTGGGACCATTGGTTTTAATGATAATCGTAAGTGCCGTTTGCATGCTATTTTAGTTCTGCCTTCGGTTTTTCCTGCAGGATTGGTCATCTTGAGTGCCAGCTATTGGATTGGTTCTGGGAATCATTTGGGGTCCAGGCTCCTCAGAATACTTCCGCCTTAGAATATCTGTGACTTCTCACCTTTCATTAGCCGACTGGAGGGATGTTTCTATAGCCATTCTGTGTGGTTAAAGATTTCTCTTCATTTTAAAAACTGATTTTATTATTTCAACTGTTTGATTAAACTGTGACCCGGGCCATGACTCTTTGTGACTCTGAGTTTTGCATCTTGTTTTCCTGGGGCCTCACTCATGGGCTTAGGACTTTGATTAAGCAGTCCCAGCCTGCCGTGCTCTCTCGCAGTCTTCCCACTGTTGTGGACAGGGCCAGATGACTGACAGCTGACTGCTGAGCAAAGTAATTTGGGGCTTTTCAGGTATTTCTGTTCAAAGTCAAAAGGGGAAGAGACTGATCGAGTCCTGGGAGGTTCTAGAATAAAAAGTTAATTGAAACTTTGGGAGTGTATATTTATTGTGAAAAATTGGATCTATTCCATGTGACACACAGGGCTACATTGCCATTGTGGGATGGTGTGAGAGAGATAGGAGAAAGAGAGCAGAATCATTGTAGCACTGACATTTTTCTTAAATATAATAGTTTTTCTTGAGGGCCCAGGCCTCTTGGTTTCTGTTCCCAAAGATCGTAAGAAGTGGGGCGTTAGCAAGTGTTCTAATTCTTTTGTGTCCTGCAGGTGATGTGTGTTCAGATTAAGTGTTTCCATGAGATTATCACTATTGGCTACAATGTCTACCACTCCTATGACCTGCCCTGGTTCAGGACCCTCAGCTGGTAAGCTCTCTAGCCCCACCGGGACCCTTAACAGATTTGGATGTTAAGTGTTTGTGGTAGGTATTTACAGTGGTGGTGGGTCGGGCGGAGTGATGGCCACAGACTTGCACAGCACCTTTGAGACGTGAGTATTTCATAGGCCAGACTGGCTGCATCTGTGACCATGTTTGCCTCGGTATTTGAATTCCTTAGACTTTGCACAGTGGCCCCCCTTTTCTAGATGAGCATATTTTTCATATCCCAACATCCCACGGCAGTTGTCTGGGAGTTGTCAGTGCTGGTGTTGCTATCTCTGGAACTTGGTTTCCTCATCCTTAAACAGATGGTTAAGACTTAGTTGTTTTCAAACTGTGATGTTGGAGCCCTAGCTCCTTGGAGGTGCCTCGGGTGCCTGAGTGGGCAGGAGTGCGACTGAACATGTAAGATCCCAGCTCCTGAGGGAAGCTCTGCTTTTTCCCGCCCCTGGGAAAGGGCTTGGTTGTCTTAAAGCAAAAACAAAATCAAAACCCGTAGCGCAGATGGTGTCTGAGACCCCTTCCCGATCTGAGACTCTGCTTTATTGGCCACACTGTCCTCAGGTGGTGATGCGTGAGCAGAGCTCAGCCCAGTGCTGGGGCGTCTTGGGGCAAATATGGCCCCTTCTCACCTGCTGTGCCAGGACTTGGGGCTTGATTCCATGGCTCACTAGGCTGGAGAGTAATGTTTTGGGCCCCAGCAACTTGGTCGTGGCGAAGGGAGCTGATGTGCTCAGATTTGGGCTGGACACATCCTTTCCAGAGGTGCTTCCCCATTGCCCAGTGGCACAAACTGCCTCGCATCTCCTCATGGGCCTGTGCTTGCCACCTGGGTTAAATGTAGGGCTCTCTTGTGGCTGTTCCATAGCTTGAAAGCAGTGTTTCAGATTTTGTTAACACGCTCACGGTGTCTGAACCCTGACCGTGGTCAGTGTCCAAAGGAAGTGTTTTTATGTAACAGGAAGTATGGGGGTTCTTGAACTTCCACAATCAAAACAAAAAAGAGACAGAGAGACAAGGTCTCCACTCTCTTCCCTATCTCGGGACCCTTGGTGAGTGTTGGCGTGGCTGCTGCTTGCCCTATATGCCGAAGCACCACGGAGGCCACAAAGGTCTGTGAGCTGTGGCTTCTCCCTTCCCTGAGCTCCAGGTGAGGAGAGAGGATATGAACAGTGAGGAGTTAGTGCTAGTGGAAGATTTATGTGTCAGAGCCATGTGGGAAGAAGTGGGTGAGCGTAGAAGATGCTCCAGGCAGGGAGACGACAGGAGCGAAGCAGACAGGCGGCAAAGCCGGAGTAAGAGATTTTGATAGGTGTGCAGGGTTCCTGTTGGGGTGAGTGGAAATAAGACCGGGGAGGCAGGACATGGCGTATTTTGCAGGGTTATCTTATGGTTTGGGCATTCTTAGGTTAAGTATGGAAACTCTACAACAGTGGCAAAAACTGAGTCCCAAGTTCGTGATAAATGGAGTGAGTGAAAGCTGCCACAAGGTTCTGGATAAAGTTCTCACCTACAGTGTCACCAAAGAACAGGGAGCCGGGTCTGCTTGTCTCTCTGCAAGCTGCTCCGGGGGTCTCGGGGGTCAAGTGGACTGCTTCTCTGACCCTTCCCTCGGGGTTTTCTGACGGCCTCGCTGTAAAGAGGCCACGTGTGCTTACCTGGCAGTGACGTGTGCTCATTTACAGGTACTTTCTACTGTGTGTAAATTACTTCTTCTATGGTGAAACAGTGACGGATTACTTCTTCACTCTGGTCCAGAGAGAGGAGCCCTTGCGGATTCTCAGTAAATACCACCGGTTCATTTCCTTTACTCTCTATTTAACAGGTACGCGTTCAGCGGTTCACCAGTTCTTCCGTCTGTCTTGTTTTTGTGTGTCTGCTGAGTAGGCGCGGGGGGATTTCTTGGTTAATGTAAAGTTTTGTTGGTGTTGAACTCCGACCTTGCAGGGGAGCAGAGCTGAGGGCTCTGCCTAATGTGAGCTGTAGCAGCTCTTTGCTAAGAGAAATGAGCCTGAGGGGCTTTGTGAGTGTAGGGACTACAGTCTGTGCCACCAGCCCTGTGTTCCAGCCTCCGTTGGAGGACAGCGCAGCATGGCCCTGTCCTGACTCTCCTGTTGGCAGAGATTCTGCGGTGTGACCGAAACAAAAACCACCCCTGAATTTATGTATAAAAACAAGTGGCCATCTTTGAGGGGTCACTGCAGTGTGGTGGAAATTTTCCTGATTTGGGTTTAAAGAGTCTGACCTCAGAGGGGCTGGGAGCTTGATCTTTCTGAGTCTCAGTTAGCTCTTTTGTAATCTGGAGCTAAAATTGCAGAGTCACTATGAGGATTAAATCAGACACAGTAAGGTGCTGTGTCCGTCTAGGCTCAGTGAAGACTGTACACTAGTTTTAGCAGTGCTGGTGTTTTTCAAATTGCATTCAAAGCCAGTTTGAGGCACGGGAGAAATTTATTCTGACCTAAATTTGTCTGGCCTACTTTTGGTAAGCTTGATGGCAGTACTTGGCTCTGTGAATGCCACCTGGCTATTAAAATACAAAATCCACTGCCAGGGGCCTGCTGCCATTGAGGATATTCAGAGAGCTTGCTTCAGACCCTGAGAGCAGCCCCCAACAGAGGGAGGTGGGGGGTCTGGATCGGCGACGTACTCTCTTCTGGAAGGACTGCTTTTGAGGGGCCCCACATGCTTCTGGGTAAAAGTCCCTTTCATCCTGGAGAAGTGGGGGCCCTGCAGATTTGTCACCATCTGGGTCAGTATGAGAGAGATGCAAGGGTGGCCTTGACCCCATACCAGGCAGCTCCCCATTCCGCCAGACCTATTCTCTAGGACAGGCGTACAGGGGCCGGCAGACATTTTCCTAAAAGTACAGGTAATAAATATCTTAGGCTTTGGGGGCCATAGGGCCTCTGTTGCAACTCCTCAATTCTGCCCTTGTAGCACAAGAGGAACCCTAGACAATCTGTAAACAAATGGGCATGGCTATGTTCCAGTAAAATTTTATTTATAAAAGCAGGCAGCTGGCCTGACCATTGTTTGCTGGCCTCTGCTCCAGGGTCAAAACATTCCTCTGTGGTGAACAGTGGCCTAAACTGAGTGTCATCTGCAAGAGTTTAAAATACTGCATTCCTCTGATTGTCTTGAAGGAGTCCTTGTTTCCTTCTGACTGCTATCTGAGCAACTACTGGTTTTTCTCCCCCTGGCTTTGGAATTGTGCCCTGGTTAACTGCTGCCAGGAAATTAGCCAAAGGACAACTTAGCACAGCTAAAGGAAATGACTAGGACAGACACTCAGGCAGAATGTGATTCATTTGGCTCTTTCTCCCCCGCCCTCCTCGAACTAGGGTTCTGCATGTTCGTACTGAGCCTGGTCAAGAAGCATTACCGCCTGCAGTTCTACATGGTAAGGGAAGCCACGCGCGCCGGGGTTCTTGCCTTAAAAGTGGTTCTGCCGAAGCTCAACAGGGCTCTCGTCCTTTTCGTGATAAATTAAGACTTCCGGAATGCAGTCTGCTCTGTGTGCATCTAGAGCCTAGAGCAGGAAGGAGGAGGGCCCGTTTGAGTTTGGTGGCTCTGCCTCCGCCTCCCCAATCACTGTTGCTTCATTTACACCATAAGCAGTCTCTCCACTGGGACCTGAAGGTGCCCTCCAGGTAAGGCTCCAGGTGCAGCTTCAGGCATTGCCCGCAGATACCCAACTTGCTACATCGTCCCCTCAACTGGAAAACATTCACTCGCTGAGTGCCCTAAGCACTCTGTACATACTTACTAAAAAATGAGAAGTACCCAGGCTCTCAGAGCACAGAAAGACTCACTCACTCATGGCTGGGCCATGTGCGCCCTACTTTTGATGGGAACTGTAGCTGGGGGACAGAGTTACTCCCAGGGGCCTGTTATGTATCTTTTCACTTCCAAGAAGACAGGTCCAGAAGCAGATAGCTTTCCTATCTGTTTCTCAGCAGTTTTGTATTTGGTATTGACTGTTATTTGAAGTTCCTTTCAAGGTAAACTGATAGGTAAAGTTTCTTCTTTTTCTTTTGCAGTTTGGCTGGACCCATGTGACATTACTGATCGTTGTAACCCAGTCCCATCTTGTCATCCACAACCTATTTGAAGGAATGATCTGGTGAGTGATGTCAGTGAGGGGGGTTTTCCCTTTTATTTTGTGGGTGTGTCTCACGTACAGAGGGCCTGAGAACACTTGCCTTACCTTCTGAGACAGTGCTTCTCCCTTTGAGCCACATCAGAATCCCCTGCAGGGCTGGTTACAACACAGATTGCCATGCCCCACTACTGAAGTTTCTGCTTCTTTAGATCTGGGGTGGTGCCTGAGGGTTTGAATTTCTAGTACATTCTCAGCTGCTCCTGCTGGGCAGGACCTAAACTTTGAGAACCACTGTTTTAGACTAATAGATCCAGGGATATTTAAAGAATCAAAGACAGGCAACTGTGTGGCAACAAATTTGCAAACCTAGAGGAAGAGTCATGATTTCCTGGCAAAATGTAAACTGCTAAAAGTTATGAAGAAGAAAACTTGAATAGATCAGTAACTGTACAAGAACTTTGAAAATTACATAAGAATCCACACCTGGTGAAAGAAATGACCAGAGATAATAGCTCAGTTTTATCTCACCCTTAATACTAAAGCCGATAGGCATAGGGAAGGAGAAACAAGAGTGATAAACTGATTTCTTTTACGATTATAGGTAAACCATTCTAAATAAAGAATTAGAAAATAGAATCTGGCAATGAGTCAAAAGAGTGATATACTGTTACTTAGTAGATTTTATTCCAGAAATGCAGGTTTCAACAGGAAATCTGTCAGCATTAATAGAAGTCGGCAGGCTGACTGAAGAAGCGGGATGATCTTAGTGAAAATGTGAAGGCATAGCCTAGTGTGTATAAGGGAGACATACTAAAATATTGTAGTTGAGACCCTCAGACTGTGCCTGTGTTTCCAGATATCCTCCTGAGGAATAGATTATGTATGTAAATTACGATAAATTTTTATGTAAAAAAAATGTATGCAAAGTGCTTAGAACAGAGGCTAGCTCTAGAAATGTTAGCCTTAGGCATTATTACTGTTTAAAACAATGATCCAGGTCTGGGAGGCACACAGCTCCTTCCCTTTCTTTCAGAGTTTTTATTAGGTAATTCTAAAGGAGCTCATGTTAAAGAAGGCCTTATCCAGAGGGCCGGACGAACGACTTGGTTCTACAGTGAATCGTATTAAAATCTCTAGTTATTGGTTTTCAGACTCAACCTACAAGACTTAATTATAGTTGCAGAGTAGACAAGATGTGCTAGAAGCCTCAACGAAGAAATATCGTGAAGGGCTTGGGAGATACAACTGCTCTAAATTTCTCCCTGAGCAAACAGGAAGTCAGAAAATATTGCCTATCCTTGATGGGGCAGGAAATCGAAATTCATGTATATGGTGTTAAACCGTAATAGAGGAAATTACAAAACAAGTGACTGTCCCAGAGTGGAGTGTGAGGAGAGGAGAGGAGAGAGATGGTCCAAATGTGGGAACTGTTACCCTTTGCGTGGTGGGGATGAGCAGACCAGCAGGGGGGTGCAGAGTAGAAATCTAGCTGTGTGTATGGTGGGTTTGCTCTCAGTGTGATCCTGGCAAAAGGCAGGGCTCACTTGAGCTAGTAATAAACAGTAAAAAAAAAAAAAAAAAAAGGAGGTAAACCATGAAATAGACATAAAATATATCATTTACAGTTATGGCCATAACTACTAGAAGAAGAAAAGTCAGAAATGATTAAAAATAGTTATTTTGGAGAATGGAGAGATAGGGATGGGAAAAACAAGAAAAACTTAATTTTTTTCTTTCCTTTACAGTTTAAATTTGTATTATCGTGTGCATATATTGCTTTATAATGTAAAAAGGACAAATGACATTTTATAAAATACACCTCCATTTATTCAGTAGTCATTCAGTAAACATTTGAAGGCCTGCTGTGTGCCAGGTACTAGGTATGGCTCATATGGTATTTCATTTCTTTTATTCTTTAGTGGGTAATGAGTACTCTGTGGGTTATGTTGGTACTAGAATTTATGAATGGCATTGTTTTGTGGACTTCTGAGGCATTAGCATCATGGTAGAGTTGATTCTTACTTGGTTTATTTCCTAGGTTCATTGTCCCCATTTCTTGTGTCATCTGTAATGACATCATGGCCTATATGTTTGGCTTCTTCTTTGGTCGGACCCCACTCATCAAGGTAAATGGGTCCCCTACGATGAAGTAGCACCGTGAGGGAAGGGTGGTGCATTTGGTACGAGGAGAGCATCTTGGGAGCAGAGAGGAGATCTAGCTGGTGTGTACATCTTCATGTCATCCTGGAGAAAGGCTGGCGGTAAATCAGTTTCAAGAGAAAAGCCAAAGGGAGACGTTGACACCTACTAATAGGAAAAAAAGAGCTAATAGAGAAAATATTTTTATAGGTTGTACAGGCACACTTTTGGGGCTTTGATCTGAATTTGGGTGTTGTCATTTGATTAGGATACTGTTTCATAACATTATTAAATTACATGAATACCAATTGAAAGAGAGAGGACACTGAGGGGTATCAGGCAGGGAACAAGGAAACCAAGCATGGGGTCTTTTAGAAGGTGAAGTAGTTAACAGAATGAGGTTGTTTTTAATAGTAGAAAGGTTTTTAACAAGCAATCATTGTTCCCAAAACCAGCGTTATCAAAATGCACTTTGCTAAGAGCTTGCTCTCTGTCCACAGCTGTCCCCGAAGAAGACTTGGGAAGGCTTCATTGGGGGCTTCTTTGCTACTGTGGTCTTTGGCCTTCTGGTAGGTGGTGGCTCCTGGTGGGTGGGGGAGTGGACAGAGGCCTCACACCCCCCTTCAAAGCCTGTCCAGGGCTAGAGAGCATGTCGCCCGAGGCCAAGGACTCTGTCCTGCTGAATGGTACTCTTGCCCTGCACAGGGGCATGAGCATGGTGTGCTCTGTAACTGGCACAGGCAGCACCACCTGTCCTTTATCTGCCAGTTTTCAAGCAGGTCTTGGCAGTTGAGGAGCAGGGGCTGTGTGCACCTTCCACTCCTCTCATGCCAAGTCCTGGCGACACTCACAGGTAGCATTCTTGTCCAGGCATTTCATATTTCAAGGTCTGGGTGATTGGCACCTGAGAGTAAGAGGCGAGGTGAGATTTGCCACTCAGCTGAGATTTTCTCCTATGTGTGCCCTTCCTGGAGGTGGATGATCTTCCAGCCTTTTCTAGAGTACCATTCCCTGCTTCTGACCCTCAGGCCAGCCTCTCCTGTCTCAGCGTTGTCCAGCTGTCCTTCATTGCTGACCCCCCTACTTGATTGCTCTTCAGCCTTCTTCCTCCCGGCTGTCTGCCTCTCAGTCTACCACTCTCCCCACCTGCCTCCAGTTAGCACTAAGTTAAGAGATCCCAGAAAATCGGACCCTAGCTCCCCCAAATGGGGGAAACTTCTTGTAGTTCTTTGCTCAAGTTCCTTCAGGTCTTTCCTAGATTTATTCAGGACCTGGGTGTTGGGGCAAGTATGTCTGAGACCTCAGTGGGCTATGAACCTCTGTATTTTTTCCCCCCAAAGTCAGGGAAAATACACATGTGGTGAAGCTAAGCCTCTGATTTAGTGCATAGGGATGTGGCCAACCCAGGTGTCTGCCACCCAGGCAGGATGGCTGGAACTTTTCTCCCTCATGCATCTCTGTGTTCTTCATCCTCAGCTCTCCTATGTGATGTCTGGGTACAGATGCTTTGTCTGCCCCGTGGAGTACAACAATGACACCAACAGCTTCACTGTGGACTGTGAGCCCTCGGACCTGTTTCGCCTGCAGGAGTATGTCATTCCTGGGGTGATTCAGTCAATCATTGGCTGGGTATGTGCCACTCACATGGGGTGAACTGTCCTTAGTTGGATAATGACTACAAAGAAAGAGTCCCGCACCCCCCACTGCTTTCCCTCAAAAGACTACGTTCTTCCCTCCCCGGTGATGTCATTTGCCTTTTCCACTTTGTCAACATTTGCCACAATGGTGCAAAAGCTGTGGTGGGTAAACCTGCTGGCACCTTGGTGTGAGTGAGGACAGTGGCACCAAAGTGGACTAAGTCATTGGATTCTTTGTGCCACACACATGCAGTAAAATCAGCCAGTTCCTCTTAAGAGTATCTTTGATAAAATAGTACTATTATTAATTTTACTGAATCTTGACTCTTGAATACACACCTTTCTAATACTCTGTGTACCAAAATGGAAAGTATGCTTAAAATGCTTGTGCTAAATACTGAAGTCCAGTATCCCCTAAAGGGAGAGCGTACGTACACTTGTTTTAGTTTCGAGCTGAACTAGCTGCTTTTTTGCAGGAACATAATTTTTGCTTGAAAAGAACTGACAAACTGTAGTTTTTCAGACTTGGATATTTGGCAGACATTTTTCTTGAAAATGAACAAAGTGAGCTTGTCACTTCAAGGAAAACAACTGACAGTAATTGTTATCAGTGAGGAATTGGACTTTCAAATGAAAATTAGAATTTTGGAAAGCATACACCTGCCGCTGTGAGCTTGACAGCTTCCTAACACCCACAGGCTTTTCGGAGGAGATCTGTGGTGATTTTAACATAGGATGTTTTGACATTGTAGAGCGAAATGTGTCTACATTTGGAAGATTTACATAACTCAGTGAACTGGTATTTTCTAAATATGCATGGTGTTGCACAGTTGTGCATGGGTAAAAGATCCATTCCAAGTCCAAGATAGACCAATGGGGTTTAATGTAAGAGTACAAAAAGTTTATTGATGGGATTTCAGATTCCACATTGCACCAGATTTTTAAGAAACTACCACTTGTCAAGTTCTGGTGTTGTGTCAAAGAATAATACCCACAATTCTCTGAAGAGACAGCACTAAGATAGTCTTTTTTTTCAGTGATATATCTATATAAGGCTGGAGTTTATTCATAGACTTCAGCTAAAGCAACATATCACAGCAGACTGAATGCAAAATATCTTTTTTTAACATGCTTTTTTTTCGTTTTCAGTGAGGAAGATTGGCCCTGAGCTAACATCTGTTGCCAATCTTCCCCCGCTTTTTTTCTCCCCAAATCCCTAGTACATAGTTGTATATCCTAGTTTTAAGTCATTCCAGCTCTTATATGTGGGAAGCCACCACAGCATGGCTTGATGAGCGGTGTGTAGGTCTGCACCCAGGATCCAAACCTGGCGAACCCGGGGCTGCCAAAGCAGAGTACACGAACTTAACCACTTGGCCATGGGGCTGTCCCCCCAAGAAGGCAGAATATCTTAATGTCTTCTCTTAAGCCAGACATTAGAGATTTGTAAAATAAAAAATCCAGTCTTCTTACTAATTTTGTTTTCTTGGGGAAAATATAGTTCTTAAAGAGCTATTTATGTTAACAAGTAATGAGGCTTGGCTTGTAGGCATCTTGACTTTTCCTTCCTTTGTTCTCAGAAAATAGTCCGGATGTACCCCTTCCAGATTCACAGTATTGCCCTCTCCACCTTTGCCTCCCTCATCGGCCCTTTTGGAGGATTCTTCGCAAGTGGATTCAAACGAGCCTTTAAAATCAAAGTAGGAAAACCCTTTTCTCTGTTCCTCTCATTGTCTCCCAGCCAGGCGCCTCTTCACCCATCTTCTGCCTTCTTCCTGTCCTGCCCCATCAGCCACCACCTGCTTCAAAATACCAGGCTATAAACCCTGACTATTAACGTGTGCTTTTCTTCCATGCAAGTAATGGAGGCAGGTTAAATGAAAATACCATGTTTCAAGAAAATTCAATAGTTGGATTTTCAGTTTGTTAATATATCTTGCATCTTTCTTCCAGAGAAAGATTTTATAATTTAGTAGGATTGTGTCCTATTATAGGCTTATCATTTGGGCCAGTGCTTACTTCTCTCTTTCTGTTGCCCTCAGCTACTCAGGATAGTAGCTGGATGTGAGTTGGGACCACAGGTCAGGGTTTGGTCTTGGCTGAGCCCAGGTTCACCAGTCCCTCCCTACCTCTAACAGGACTTTGCCAACACCATTCCTGGCCATGGGGGCATCATGGATCGCTTTGACTGCCAGTATCTAATGGCCACCTTTGTCAATGTGTACATCGCCAGTTTTATCAGGTACAGTGCCTTTCCATCTGAACCAAGTAGGTGGAGTTTTAAGTATGGTGAAAATCTAGAATTTTAGCTTTCTCTGTTTGAGTGAAAACCGTCCCAAATAAGAATGCAGTTTTCACTTGCTACTGTTTATGGATTCTCTGAGGGCCCCCTGCCCTCTGTTAGTAGAGAATCCAGAGGGGGAGCAGCCTCTTGGATAACCAGGTCCTAGAAGTCCCCCACTCAGTGCTGTTTCTTCATATTCTCTTCCAGGGGCCCGAATCCGAGCAAGCTCATTCAGCAGTTCCTGACCTTGCGGCCAGATCAGCAGCTCCACATCTTCAACACGCTTAAGTCCCACCTGACCGACAAGGGGATGCTGACGGCTGCTGCCGAGGATGAGTAGGGGCCACCCCGGGCCGGGAGAGCAGGACCGAGCGAGGGGCAGGGCTCCAAGGCAAGCCCAGCTGGTGTGACTAGACAATGACAAGGCTTCAACTCACTGTCTTTTTTTTTTTCCCTTTATTTGTGGGTTTAAAAAAAATCTGTATATACAGTCTATGTGCTTATGATTTGGGTTGTGAGTAAACTATAGCTTTGAGTTGGAAAGAAGTCATGGCAGTAAAACCGTTGGGTTTTTTAAACAGAAGTTTTTGACAGCCTAGAAGACAGTGTTGCCCAGCTCGGGAGCATCTGCTTGGCGCTTCTAGCTGCCATCAAGTGAACTGTTTCTGGGCTCGAGCAGAGAGTGGTCGTGCTTCTGTGTCCGTCCAGTTCAGGGGCCCCGCCTGTCTCTGTGACCGCCCCCAGCAGGGAAGAGGAGTATGGCTTGGATGTCTTTACTGCTGGAGAGCTTCCACCTGGGTTTCTCGGTCATCCCTGCCTTGGAGCTGCAGGAGGGTTGCCTTCTCCCGGCTGGAATGACAAGGCTTGTTAATCAGATAAGCATCCTACCCACATGGAATCCTGTGGAGCACAAGCTCGGTTTTATGATGTGGTTCACCTTACTTCATCACACACTGAGAGAAGGTTTCAGTTTTTATTTTCTTCAGAAAGCACGAAAAGTTATTTATAATAGTCTGGGGAAAAAAAGCCCACACTGTATTATTAGAAGTGTATGCAGTAGCACGTACTGTGACCAAGCCCTTTCCCGCGGGTTTTAGGCTCAGGTGGCTCCTACAGGGCAGTCCAGCTCACCATGTCTTTTCAGGGACAGTGCTGTTCACGTTTGTGCTGTACACTTGTTGCTGCTGAATCCCTCCTGGGGGCTTTCCCATTAGGCGGCGAGCAGAGGGCTTCTGGTTCCCGCACCCCTTGCCTGACCGACCACCCGTGTAGCTGCTGTGTTGTATATATATTACTGTTAAGGCAAGTGTGTCTCTGTGTGTGTTAAAAATCACTTATTTCTTATAGTGATTTCAAGTGTACCATGACTTCTTCACTGAAACCACAAAGTCCTGCTTTAAACTCTGGAAATCCTAACCCAGCTAGAGATTTGACTATTATAAAGATTAAATGCATACTTTTTATATAATGTGACCAGTTTCAATGTAGTTTGTATTTTACTAGGGGACCTTTTTTCTTTTAAACTGTGATTTATTTTTTTCCCTTCCTAATTACAGGAGTGAGGTTGACTGTGGGAAGACAAGTTCTTTGTCGGGACAAGTCAGGGAGGACGGGAGAGAGAACTTGGTGCCCAAATGTGTTAAATTATTCTGTGCCATGGTGGTTCTTGTTGCCAAATGAGGGGGTAATGGTTTGCTTCAGCATCTCGGTGTGGTGCTGGTTTGCTTTGTGTCTGTTTATATCAGCCTTCCCGCCACCCTGAAAGCCCGCGGTCAGCACAGACCACCGAGCGTCCAGCGCAAGGCAGACCCCTCTCGACGTTTCAGCTGACAGTGACTGTGGGACCTCCACGTGCAGGCAGCACTGAGGCACCTTCTGAGCTTTTCCTTCCATTTTAGCACATGCGTTTTCTTTTTCAGGCCCAAGGCCCCTTTAAAAACAAAACCTGTTTTTGCACGGGGGTTTTAGTCATGGCTGTGTGACCCTGGGCAGGACGCATCACTCTCTGGGTCCTCACGTTCTGAGCCGTTTTCGAATTCCAGGATTCTGTGATTCTGGCTGAGCAAGTTCATGTCAGCAGAGGCTGCTGTGGGTGTTGAGTTGTGTCCTGGGCACCCAAAAAGCAGGCGCTTTCAGGCCTTTTCTATATGCTTGTCCTTAAGGTGAGTGAGAATCTCAGCCACAGTGAAGGTGAATATGAACGCATTTAGTTTTCTTGTTAAAGAATGATTGGTTCCCCAAACCAGAGACAGAAGGGTGCCTCATTTCTCTGGTGCCCCATTGTGGGCATATGGTGGGGTCCTTGGTTGCTAGGGCCCAGCAGCAGAGAGCCACTCTTGAATAGGGCTGCCTTTGGGATCAGGGAACCTGGCGCATCCCTTTGTAGAAGTGGTCACTGATGGGGGTCCTGGGAAACTGCAGCTGGGTGCGCATCAGAGCTGCTAGCAAGAAGCCCAGAGGGTCAGCTTGAGTTTATTTTCTTCTGATTTCCCCACATGCTTTCTGGTGAAATAAGGAATTTCCTCGTTGAGTAGCCCGGAGGGCACACCACCTGTTGTCTCTATAGCACAATGGTTTTCTTTCTCCCATTTACTGAAGATATTTCACCATACAGATAAGATTCAAGCGACTGTGTGAACATACGCCTGTGCAGATCTCAATGAACAGCATAACTGGCTTCAGATCCATTTTTTTTGTGTGAGCAATAAAATGTGACTGAAACTGAAACTTGTCGTGAATTCAGTTTCTCACTGCCACGCGTGGTTTTGTTTCCCGCTTGTTTTTGTGTTCCTAAATACCATGCAGTCCTGAATTAGAGATTTTTGTTGTGTTTTCCAATTTGAATCCTATCCGTTCTCACAACAGCCTTCTGAGGTACCTCGGGTGAGAGTCCTCAGCACCTTCCCGGTGAGGAAGCTGAGGGCCAGCGAGGGTAGAGAGCTTCCCCAGGGTCACGTGGTGCAGTCAAGACCGACTCTGTCTTGTGCTCCACACACCAGGACAGGGACTGGATCGTCCCCACGCCCACTCGCCTTTGAGGAAGTGGCGTGAGCGCTCCTGGAATTTTGCAGCGTTCCTTCCCTCAAGCTTAGGAGGCCTGACCTGGGTACCAGGCTGGAGCTTAAGTTGCCATTAGCTCATAACTGGTGACATAAGGAGCTGATGAGCGAGAGTGTCACAGAAACCAGGGAGTGTCTGCAGTGGGCTGAGCCAAGGTATCCTCTCTGTGGGCCCTGCTCATGACTGCTCAGAGGGCACCCCAGTCTTTTCCCTTGGTATGCGCAGGCCACCCCCTTAACTGCTCTCAGCATTGAAAAAGTACATTTGTGTTTTACTCCTGAAAGTGAAACCCCCTAGGGCAGCCTGGGCTTTATGTTTATTATTTTTTGCCTGTTTCATATTCTGAGCATTTTAGTAGCTGTAATATAACTACATTTAAAATGTATTTACTCTTAGTGTTGTACAATTCTATAATGTATGTTTGAGGCTAGTGTTTCAGAAGCGGTGAAATGTAACTTTTAACCTTACACAGGTGGACTTTGAAACCATTTTTATGGTATGTACTTTTTCCTGCTGCGCTTCTTAGCCTGTAACTTGATTTATATTATGCAAGAAGATTCCAAAAGTATATTATAAGTGAGACTAAACAGACCCTGTGATTTGAGTCTAAGCTAGTTGCTGAGTTGGCTCAAGGCTGATGTGAGTGGATCCTTGAGTTCAGATCCTCAGGCTGTCAGTGAGTCCCCAGCAGGCTTAGGAGCAGCCCTGCTGTGGATGCAGGTGGTTGGGGGAGACTGTGAGTGACTCAGGGCAAACAGCAAACCTTCTCCCAAAACTACAGCAGTGGCCTTTCTCCACAAGAAGCCTGCCCAGGGTCAGTTTCCAAGGGAGTAGATTTTCATTATTCTACCAAATGTGTTAGGTCATTGCTGAAACTTCTTCCTGTGTCGCTAATACCTTAGGCATTCTTGCCTTTTGTCTTTTGGGGTAACTCCCATCTGTGCCCACCTTGTGATCATGTGCTGAGAAAAGGGTGGAGTGGAGTGGGGAGGGCGGCATCCTTGGACCCAGGGTTCCCGTTCTTCCGTAGTCAGGGTGGGGAGGAAAGGTGAAGAGGGGCATGTCCAAGTGGCTGTCGGAGATATGTCACGAGACAGCGAACCGTGGGCAGACTCTCCCTGTGCTTCTCTGTAGCAGGGGCTCCAGAAGAGCAGCGGAACAGACCAGCAGCTCCCTGAAGAGAGGGGCTGATTCTTGGGCAGAGCCTTTCTCTCTCCTTGTCTTGGCCAAAACATCCTTCCTTTTCCCTTGATCACCCTCCACAGAGTTGCCCCAGCTTCCAGTTTTTAAAGAGATTAACAGCTCCCACTTCCTCATCTGGTTTCCCTTGTTGGGTGGGGGCCTTGTGGCATGACCTACGTAGGGTGCTGGGGTTTGGACCAATGGTGATGAAAGAGGCTAATTTAAAGGCCTCTTCTAGGCTCATCTCCTCAGCTCATCCACATTCCCCTACAGAAGGTGGGCCCCATTCTCAGTGAGGAACAGAGTCCCAGCTGCCGACTGCCTGTATCAGTTGAAAATGGCCCCGTCTTTCTGTTCCTCCCAGTACTGTCCCACCCCCTTCAGGTTGACCAACAGTGACCTTACTGGGCTCTCAGGTGGGTAGGCTGCTGTTCTTACAGGGGGCTGCCTCTCCATTGAGTAAGGCTTTACCTGTTTGTATGTTTTCAAAGGCAAAGAGATCTCAGCTGCGAGGGTAGTTTGGGAGACATACTTTGGATGCTAACGTGTTGGGGTTTTTAGAGCATGTGGATGATGTATGAGAATAGAGGGAGAGACATGTGACATCTAGGATTTTATGGCCAGTGTGTTTCAAATCTGTTGGCTGTTTGAAAATCCTGTCCCCTCTCCCACCCACCTCCACCGATGGCCTATCTGCTGAGGCTCCTTTCCTTTTCATTCTTGAGCCAGTAAGTTACCAGCAGTGTGTTTATTAATAATTGCAGTAATAGTAATAGTGCTTAATATGTGCTAGGCACAGTGCTAAGGGTTTATATACATTATTTCTTTTAATCCGGAAAACAATCTTTTTTTTTTAAAGATTTTTAATTTTTCCTTTTTCTCCCAAAGCCCCCTGGTACGTAACTGTGTGTATTTTTAGTTGTGGGTCCCTCTAGTTGTGGCATGTGGGATGTCACCTCAGCATGGCTCGATGAGTGGACATGGACATGGTGCCATGTCTCCACCCAGGATTTGAACCAGTGAAACCCTGGGCCGCTGAAGCAGAGTGCGCTAACCTAACCACTTAGCCACGGGGCTGGCCCATGGAAAACAATCTTTGATTAGGTATTATCATCTCCATTTTATAGATGAGGAAACTGAGGCACCATGACAGGCTGAGCACTGTGGTTAAGAAGATGACGTTAGGCTCAAATAGTCCAAGGTCTGGGCAGGTTACCATGTGCAACTTAGGCCCAGTTGAGTCGGATAATAGCACTTCCCCAAAGGAACATTGTGAGGGTTTTATGAGATAACACACGTAAGCAGTTAGCACAGTGCCTGGCACACAGTAAGCGCTTAATAAATGGAGTTATTTTGGTTGATCTCAGCTGATGGTTTGAACCCAAGTTGGTGTAATGTTGGAGACCAGGTTCTCAGCCACGGCACTGCCACCTGCCCTGCACACAGCCTGGGGTTCAGGGTCTAGAAGGTGACCACACCACCCTCCTGAGAGGAGCAGCCCAACCTTAGCACCCACCTGCAGTGTCTGGGTGCTTGAACTTGGTTGAGAAGACCAGCCTGGCAGAAGGAAAGAGGACGTGAGGATGTTGTGAAATTCTCCGTTCTTAGTGGGAATGGTTTGCCTGATGTCTTGCACACTTCCTGCCACCCCTGGTTTGCACTTTCCGTGGGGACGGCAGCCCTGACCTCTTGCCCGGTGGTGCCTCCACTCCGTGGGCAGTGAGGGCCTATCTGTGACTCGCTCTGGACCCCACTTCCCCCTCTGGCCAAGGGCTGTGTGCTCTATGCACACAGCTCAGGAACCCGCAGCAGTTCCCTGACAGGTGGACATCTCAGCGGCTGAGCAGAGTGGGGACGAGGAGCCTTTGCTAGATTATATGGACAGCACGCCTAAGAGCTCCGCCCACACCCTTCCAGCCAAACAGGTCAGGGGCCTGTGTTTCATGCCTTCCTGAAAGTATTACCAGGAGACAGGCGAGTGAGCACTGGAGGAAAGATGATGTGGGGCGTCTCTGTTGGCTTCTAGGAGAGGAAAAGATCACGGGTGACTCACGAAGGAAGGGAGAATGGATGTGGGATTCCATGGGAAATGTCTTGGTTTTCCAAATGGAGATGGGGGGTGTGTGTGAGGTGGAGCGTTCGTCACTTTGAAGGAATGGTGTTGACAGAGAGGATCCCTGAGACTCAAGCCAGTGGAATCATAATAACTTAGGGCTACCGGCTTGACTGTGGACTGTTTCCTGGGTGTTAGTGGGGAGTGATGACCAGACCTAGGCCCTTTGTGTTTCAATAGTGGTCTCCCCTTCAGTTAATGGATGAGTGACAGTGGCAGGATCAGGAGCACATGGTTGTGCAGCCACTGTGACCGACCCTGGGCTTGCCCTCTCGCCCTTCTGGAGTCAGCGTGTGCCAGGCCTGGACTTCCTCCCTCATTGTTGCACCTAATGGACCAGGCAGCTTTTTAACTGTGGAGAGAAAGGCTCCAAACTCAGGGCGCGGGCCCTCTGGGCATGGGGCTGAAAATGCCCTTTCCTGCTCTCCCAGGCGTTGGGCCCCGCCTGGCTCTTTGGAGCCTCCTGAGGGCTTCCCTGTCTAGCGCCCAGAGGGTTTAGCCACCCGGTGACACATTACTCTCTCTGTCTTGGCTGCTGGAACACCTGTTTCCTACCTCCATCAGGTTCATGTGCTGGTTTTGCTGGCTTTGTGCCAAGGAACACCAGCCTGGAAAGGGGTTAAGAATGTTTTCTAGCGGGCAGAACGTGCACACATGTTCTTATAAGGGTGTCCTTCGTGTGCTGTTTCATTTAAATCCTCCACACACAGCACCTGGTGGCTGCCTCCCGTCACACTGGCTGGGTATCTGGGGACCGTTTACAGAAGGGAAGAGCTGAGCAGACGTCAAGGTCAAGAAAACCAAAGGATTTGGAGCCAAGAGAACAAGGCAGGGGCAGGATGCAGTGATTTATTGTCCAGCCAGAGGACTGTCAAGAAGCTGTGGGGGCAGCAGCGGGAGAAACATGGGAAGGGAGGTGCCAGGAGTCCTGCAGGTGGGGGCCAATTGCCAGAGGCCAGCCTGTGTCTCTCGTGGGTGTGGGGACCAGCAGTTGGGCTCAGAAGCCCATCATGGAGACTCAAAGCTCCTGGATTATGAATTATCTTCTAGACTTGATGCTGATACCAGGTTTTAATTTTTATTGATGTTTAATACTTTCCAAAACAGGAGGGGAAGATCAAACGGATAGGAGGCCCCTCTGCTGAAGATTCTTGGGGACACTGGTGGTGGTGGGTGAGTCAGGCACAGCTGTTAACTTCCTCCTCAATTCTGTCCACTCTCAGGATCTGTTTAATGGGAAAGTTCCCCAGACATAAAAATGGCCTCCCTGTCCCCCGTGGGGAGTGCCAGGTGTCACATGTAGCCCATCACTGCCAGTGTTTGTGCCGCCCAGAGGTCAGCCCTGTGTTTGCCCTGTCCCCTCTGTGATGGGCAGGCCCAGGTCAGTTTCTGTGCTCTCCCTCCGTGTGGATGGACACAGTGAGATTCAGTACAGTCATGTCCTGCATAACATTTTGGTCAACGACAGACTGCATATATGATGGCCGTCCCATGAGATTAGTACCATATAGCCTAGGTGCGTAGTAGGCCTTACCATCTAGGTTTGTGTAAGTACACTCTGTGATGTTCGCACAACGATGAAATCGCCCAATGACACATTTCTCAGAATGTATCACGTGACTGTAGCCTCTCACTGATAAGCTGGGTATTGATATTCAGTTTTCCCACCCTCGGACGTCGCTGACCATGGAGCAGCTGTTGGGTGTGTGTGGAGCCCCTGTGACAGTCCTTGGGGCCTCCCCAGAAATGTGTGTGCCTGTGTGCTACTGCTCTGTCCTTTATCCGACTTGGCGTCTCACTAAATCCATGTGTTTTTGCCACAGCTGGCCTTTCTCTGTTCATTGTCTGATTGGTGTTGAGCAATACATATAGATTCTTCTTCAATGCAGTGTCAGAACATGGTATACTGTACATTGGCAAGTACTCACCTTATTTATATACCTGAATGTGCCCACTACACAAATAAACATCTATGAAATTCTAGATCCCGTGTGGTTTTTGATGGGAGTGCTCACTTGGGGTGAGATGTGCAGGTGGGTGGTGTGGAATCAGCGTCACTGCCCAGGATGCTGCCAACTACTCCCTGCTCCTAGAGGCACCCTCTGCCCTTGGCCTTCGCAGCCTGCCCTCCTGACCTTCCTCCTGCTTCCTTGGCTGCTCCTCCTCAGCTGCCTTTCTCTGGCCCGGCCCTGAGGTGGTGTCATTCTGCCCAAGGCCCTCTTTCCCCCGTTGAATTCTCTCTTGGGTGTTCTCACCACTGTCAGGGCTCCGGTTACCACATGTACCTCCATGATTCCCAAATCCATGTCCCTAATCCACACGGGCCTGCGAGGCCTCTTCATGTGGACTTTGCATGGGCAAATCCAAACCCCGGCCCTTTTCCTACCCTTGCCCCAGCCCCGTGTTCTGTAACCAAGGCCTGCCTGTTCTACCTTCTAAATACCCTTCAGATTCGTCCCGACTGCCTGTCATCTCCCTGAGCTGGGCCACCTCTGTTTGTCCACTCCTTACACTATAGCTGGGGTGAGCCTTCTCTGCTTGGAACCCTTCAGTGTCTTCCCGTGGCCTTAGGTCAAAGTTCAGATTTGTTATAAATAAAGGAAGATTGGCACAGGTGTTAGCTCAGTGATAATCTTCCTCACCAAAAAACCAAAAAGACCCCATCACCTTCTCATATTTACCAAAGGACATCACCAGTTCCAAAATCAACCAAAACCCAGGGGACTCCAAATGGAGTAAAACTGTGCCACTGCTTCCCTAATGTCTCTTCTCTATTTTAACAAGAAGCTTCCGCACATTGTTAGGGTCAAAAGCACGTCCATCAGACGGAGGACAGGTTCAGAGTAAACTCGGATCTCTGACCGAGAATGGTAGGTGTTCCTGCAGCAAAGAGGGGCCCTCTGATCTTGTCCACGTGGTCCCGATTTCTCTGAGATTCAAAGAGCCGCTGAGGCAGTGCGTTCTAAGTCAGTGATTCTCAAACTTGGCTGGATGTTAGAATCACCTGAGGAACTTAAGAAACATCTCAGTGCCCAGGCAGCACCCGGACCAGGCGCATCAAAATCTCTGGGAGTGGGACTCAGGCACTGGTGTTTTAAAAAATATTTCCTGGGTGGTTCCAACATGCAGCCAAGGTTGAGAACCAGTGGTTCAGATTCCCTCCAGTGAGTCCATCTCTTCTCAGACACTGCGCCTCCCTCAACTCCCTCTCCCCACCCCACAAGTGGTCACTGTGCTCTGCTAGAGCGTCCCCATTGGGGAGCCTCGGTGTCCTGAGGTGAGCCTTCTGGTGTAGTCAGTCGAGTGATGCTCCACACCTCAGGCCACGGTGTAGAAGGACGTGTGCCTCCCAGGACCTCCATCCAGTGTTTGTCTTCCCACATCTCACAGTCTGCTTCTCTTTTGCCTGATGAATGTCTATAGTGTTTCTCAGGCGCCCCACGCTAGCTCCTCTCCTCGCCACCTAGCCTTGTCTTCCCCAGCTCTTCATCTTGTTCTCTTCACTCTTCCTCGTGAGGAATGCCTTCCAGCCCTTTCGCTATGCCGACCAGTGTCTGGACACACACAAGTTAATCCTTCCTGGGGGGCCCCATCATTGCCTGTAGTTGTGAATATGTGTATTCATTGGAGGGGTGCACATGGGGTCCTATGGGAACTGAAGACCCCTAGTAGTTACTGCCCACGAGGTAGCTTCTTCCTCCTGTTGTCTCAAGGGTCCAGGTACCTACTATGGTGGTTGTGATTGTTGTCATGAAGAAAAGCCAAGGAGGGAGCCCCATGGATAATAAATCTACAGTCTCCTAGGGACTCCACTGGTTACCAGAGAGTGTCCCAGGAGAGCCGTGGTACGTGGCGTCCTGAAAGTGCAATTGTTTAACTTTTTATTTGAAATAATTTCATATTTAGAAAAAAATTATAAAAATAATATAAAGAATCCTCCACAAACTTCAAATTCCACAGATGTTAGCATTTTACTAAATTTAATTTCTCTATACACAAACACACTTTTTTTCTGAGTTTGAAAGTTGTAGACATGATGTCCCTTTACAGTTATGTAATCTTACTCAAATTTCACCGATTATCCCAATAATGCCCTACATAACAAAATAATACATATACTTTTGTCTGACGCAATTTAAGGGGCTCTGCAGTGGATTTGGGAACCAGAACTACCCTCCCTACCTCCTCCCCCTGACCCATCCCTCATCAGATGGAATCGCTCAGCATGCTGTGTGCTGGAAGCCTATGTAAAATGTGGTACCCAGCACTGCAGGGCAATGCTGTTACGTGCCCAGCAGAGGGCAGCAGTGGGTCACAAAGCGAGACACAGGGCTTTGGCGTGACATGCTTGGGTGGAATCCTGGCCCAGTGGTCATTAGCTTTGTGACATTGAACAAAACACTCAACTGCTCGGTTGCCTCCTCTAAAAATGGGGATGATTTTTTTTTATTGAGGTGTAATTGACATACAATGTTATATTTGTTTCAGGTATACAACCTAATGATTTGATATTTGTATATATTGTGAAACAATCACCACTATAAGTCTGGTTAACACCCGTCACCACACATAGTAACAGAATCCTTTCTTTCTTGTGATGAGAACTTTTAAGATCTATTATCTCAGCAGCTTTCAAATATACAATACAGTATTATTAACTGTAGTCATCATGCTGTACATTGCATCCCCATGACTTATTTATTTTATAGCTGGGAGTTTGTACCTTTTGACCCATTTCACCCTTTCTGCCTGATCCCCAGCCCCACCTCTGGCAATCATCAATCTGTTCTCTGTATCTGTGAGCTTGATTCTTTTTAGATTCCATGTATAAATGAGATCATATGGTATTTGTCTCTGTCTGGCTTACTTAGCATCATACTCTCCAGGTCTGTCTAAAATGCGGATAATTGAGAAGATAAGCAAAGCACTTGTCCAGCACCTGCCAATCACTTGTCAGAAACTTTTCTTTGTGATATTACCCCTTAGTCTGACAGTGAACTTCTGGGGGATGCAGGGGAAGGAGCTGGCACTGATGCTGCAGTGAAGGTAGAGGCAGGGCTGGCCAGTGAGGCTGCGTCACAGAGAAGGGAGGGTGCTATTGGGAATGAAGGGGTGTGAAACTGAAGTTATAACTGAGCTGTTTACTTACCTTGGCACCCCAAGGCCAGTTGGGACTAAACTTCACACTGGAATGCTGGCTGAGCATGTCACGGCATTGTGCAGATTCCCACCTGGTGCTGGAATCGCCCTCCACAGCCATCCGTAGCAAATCCATGAAGGAGGAGGAGTGGCTTGTCTTCTTTTCCCTTTTGGTTTGGAGAGTGCTTGAGTTTGATTCTTGACTCCATCATTTACTGGCTAGGTGACCTTGCAGCTTTGGGCAAGTTATTTAGCCTCTCCATGCTTCAGTTTCCTCATCTGAAAAGTAGGGATAGTAACAGTGCCCACTCGTGGTGTTGGTGTAAGGATTAAATGAGTTAGTATTGTAAAGAGCTTAGCTTGGCTTCTGGCACACAGTAAGTTTTCATAAATATTAGCTATTATTGTTTCCGTGTCCCCACCTTTTCTTCCTCATCTGTGTGCTTCGCCTGTGTCATCCCCAAGATGGTCCCGTTGCGGGTGGGAGTTAGTCTTGGGTCTGGCCCTCCCTGTCCAGAACATATCTGTTGTACATAAGCTGCTGCTCACACTAAACTCTCTCTAGCCACCAGTCAACCTTGTGGAATTTTCCTCTGACCAAGGGCTCTCTACCTGTCTGTTATCTACTGCTGCAAACATACCAGAGAGCAAGGGGGCTAAAAAAGACAAGAGAGTCATATCAAAAGGCCTCAGATCCAGCAAGAAGAGGCTCCCAAAGATGGGACATTTTGAACATCAATAGGGATAATAACTGCAATTGATTGAAACATATCAATTTTGTTTAAATACATGAATTCATAGTGATACTTAAAAAACTCAATTGATCACCACGGGAGGATGCTAGTAAACCAAGTTTATTTCTATCACTAGTAAATAAAGAGAAAGAATCAAGCATTTACCCGGTCTTTTCTAAAGAAACAGTATCTTGATATTAAATACCAGTTACATAAAGATGAACCAACCAGCAACCTCTGTGGTAATTTTAAAACTGATAAATAAAGTGAAAGAATTAAGAGCAGGGAAACTGACCTACGTACATGGCCACTTGATTTATGACAAAGGTGATAGTGCCTTGGGGAATGGGTGGTCTTTTCAGTAAATGTGCTGCATCAATTAGATATCCATGTGAAAAGATTACTGTACACCATACCAAAAAAATCAATTCCACATGGATTGTAGGTCTAAATGTGAAAGATAAAACAATAAAGCTTTTGAAGAAAACATAGGAGACCACCTTCATGACTTGGAGTAGGCGAAGATTCTTGAACAGGATACAAAAGCGCTAACTATAAAAGAAAAAATTGGCAAATTAGACTAAAAGGCTACTGTATTAGGTACCTTGAGGGATACGATGATAGCCAGACCTGGTTCTAGTTCTAATGAAGTTTATAATTAAGCCTGCATATTGTTTTCTCTTTCTTTCTTTTTTTAAGAGAAGAGCTTTTAAACCTGGCCGTAGGCTTTCCCTGGGTGGTGGGTTACCTCCCTCAGTCGCCCTGCTGTTATCTTGCTGAATATCCCCAGAAAGCCTGTCTCCCCTGTAATAATTGATATTTCTCCTTTGCCTTGCTGACATCAGCCTTGATTAGGAGAGGAGGTTTGGAGGTTGGGGAATGGGGATGGAGTGGGAGAGGAAAAACAGGTCTTCTCTGTGTCACTGACAACTGATTTCTGTTACCAAAGTGCTTAGATTGTGAAACTGTCAATTGGTGACGATTGAGATTCTTTTGGGGTCCTGTGGGTACGAGAGGGGTGGTGGCACCTGTGGACATAACCAGCGGCAGTTAGGGAATGGACAAGTTGCTGTCCAGAGCCTCAGCCTAATCATCCACTGGGCTCGGAGA